AGGGTTCCGCAAAAACTTTCTGCTTGAGAAGTCAGTCAATGAACGTTCTGATATACCATTAAAATTGTTTTTAACATATCTTAAGCTGATTCAATATATATATTGCGATGGGATTTTGATGTAAATTTCATTTACCGACAATGCTGATTAAACCTGGTCATTTTTGCAACTGCCAAAAACCAGCGATGCAAATTAGATATAAAATCTCTTGATCCTATCTAAGCCGTAGATCAAGAATTGCAAATTGAGTGTGATGTAAAAAAAAAAAAAAGTCATATGTCCAACATCTTTCCGATTGGATTAACATCTTTTCTCTGTAAAAAAAAAAAAAAAAAAAAAAAAAAAAAAAAAAAAAAAAAAAAAAAAAAAAGATATTTGACTCTGCTTTATCAATATAATTTACATCAAATATATCCATTTATTGCAATACTATTGACAAAGTCGAGGAAAAGATACATATTGTCTGTAAATTTGCTCTCCCATGTGTTCAGTCATTCATGAATTTTAACATTTTTTCGTATATATGTATATGTAAGTAATTAATTAGTAGCAGGCAAATATTCTTCTTTTTCAGAATTTCAAATACCTTTGAACTTGGCAAGGATCATTCTTTATTCAATACCATTCTTTTGCTACTTTTGAATCAAGAAGGAAATAGATTTCTATATATATATTAGTATACAGATATTCTTACAATAAGAGGTCTGAAATTGGAATTATCACTATGACATCAAGTCGTGTTGAATTAATATGTTTTCTCACAGCTTTGAACTCCTCTCCATAGGCTAATTCATGACTGCAAGAACAACCAATGTCCAAGGTGACCTTGTAATAAAAATAGGAAAATCATGACGTAAAATAGGTGTGTATTGAGTGTATTTTTCCCTGCACAAATATATTATTGAATTTTCTACATAAAAAAACTCTCTCGGCATTAGTTATAATGTAAATATCAAGGAAGTCGTAACAATGAAATGTGGTGTAATCAAATATACAAGTTGTGAATGAATGAAGAATTATCTAATCTGATAATCGTACGACAGCGATTTTCCAATATATCCTTTGATATGATCACGAAAGGTAATTATAAAGATCACAGCATTGATCCCAGATTCACATTTACTTGATATAATTTTGTTTTTGCCATACAGAGGAACATGATCTGATTTTTCTGATTTAATTGCTTCCGCATTGAAATTGTATCAGTGTCTTTTTTGTGATAAAGAATATAGAATATTAAGGAATACAGGTTATAAGATCTTTAACCCTTTAGGGTTATAAGATAATTTTGTTACGCCTTTCAGCATAACAAAAAGTTACCTTGTATGTTCTAGCCAATTTTATTGAACATGAAACAATCATTTTGGTTATGTAATTCAAATGAAAGAAGGAAAAGTGTGAGACTGAGGAAACCTTTGATAGCGGTCAATAACAATGACGCATATTAAACTATTGTCTGTATAGTTGTGACGGAATGGGGCATTTTGACATGTACATTTTTCACTGAATGTGGAAAAGCAGGTTGTTTATTAAAGAAATATCCTAGTAACATATCGAATGCAAAAGCGCAACATGTCCTATTTTCATAATCTGCTTGAAATATGGCGGACTCTCAGTGGTGCGTTTAGAAAATTTACAATGTCACAGATTTCGGTATATTTGTACTTTGATCGGATATATCGTAATGATCTTAAATAAGCAGTTGAAATACCACATACAAATTTCGTGACGAAGAATTTCAAATCTATGGCGAATGATTCAATTTCTAATTAGAGAATGAAATATTCATTTTCGAACACAACAATCAATATTTTGTTTGGGACTTGGCGTGAAGCACAATGAGGAAAACCTAATTGATAACAAGATAACAAGATGAAGAAAGCTGTGAAAATCTCTTTGCAATATGTGAAGAAATTCATTTGATTCTGAGCAGGGGAAAATAATTTTACTATTTTAGATCCACCACTTCCTGTATCGTGATTTACAATTCATCATCCATTGATATTTCTTATCACATTTCTATCATGGTAGCTATAAAAACTCTTTAAAACTAGACGAAATACCACGCAAGCGTTGGGAATAGAATTTTAGCACTGATGTTGGAACAAATCCAATCCAATCCAATAGTTAATCACAGGCTAATAGCAGGAAGAAATACTTTGTTCAAATTCACGCAGTTAGTTTATGAGCAAATGTAGTGAAATATATGAATATAACGAATAGTATTCAAGCTCAAAAGTCCATTTCACCGTCATATATGTTTTTGCACAAAATATAAAAAGATTAATAAATTTAAGTATTTTAATGGTTAGAATTTATACGAAATAACACCAAATAATATATATTTTAAAGACTTTTAGGAGAATCAAAACAAGTATCTGAGAGTTTTACAATAAGCTCATAACAAATTATTGCCCCTTACTTTTTACCGTTTATACCTCAATGTTTTACACTATGTCAAATATTTTCTTAATTTACAATCTACTTTAATTAAACAAACTCTATGGTTAATGAAAAAAGTAAAGATAGCGAAAAATGATCAATCTAAAAAATATCTGCAAACGATACAAATCTGTGAATAGGGCATAAAAGACGGGTACCGAAAATTCCAGGGGTTGGATCAGGTACCTAGGAGAAGTAAGCATTCCTTGTTGACCGGTCACACCGCCGTGAACCCTTTATGAAAATGAAGCCCTTGACATGTCAGGATGGATTCAAGGTATTAAATGTATATTAAAATCGCGAATTAAGCGATTGGAGATCAATATAAAATCATCTATCCGTCTGTCTTCGACAATGCAGAAAATTAGATTACATGATCAGTATGTACTGGTCCCCGCTGACAAAGCATGTAATAACATTGTCTTTATCTGTAAGGTTCATTGTTTGAATTGTATTTTAGAAGAACTAGGATTTAATTCTGCAATTGGTAATTCAACTTATACCCATAGCTCCCTTTCTAAGGAGGAAATTCTTTAAAACCATATGTCAGTTTTAGATATTTTAATATTTCCAACAAACAAAATGAATTTGAATTACCATACCTATACTGGATTCCAAAACTCCAAAACTCCATAAAAACCCTTACCAACAAAGATACATAGCGCGTTCCAGTAATGTTCTACGTGTACCAAGCCCTTTCTTTACTCCTCACTAAAATATTTACAGCAGTGGAGAAACTTCAGGAAAACAACAGTATATTTGAGAAGTCTTTTAAATCAGACGTGGATATTTAAAAACTCCAAGGAACTTTTAGAGAATTTGAACTCACAAAGTATTACCAAAATCAATAACATCAAAACTTTATACAATCATTCCCTGCAATAAATTCCTGGCGTTTTGACATCATAGACAGCTGCTTTATCAATAAAATGAAACTCGTAAATTTACTTACCTTGTCACTGGTCATTTTCAAAATTATTTTGTTAAAAAAAATTCTGATTGTACACACGAGTATTCTGAATTTGATATTTAAAAGATGCTTGAGTTTCTAATTGACAATATCTATATGTTTTTTTTTTCTTTTGGAAATCAGGTCTTCCAACAATCTGTTGGAGTTCCCATGGGTACCAATTGCGACCCTTATTAGCAGATTTATTTTTGTATCTATATGAAGCAGAATTTATTTAAAAACTTATACATGAGAACAGGATACTTGTTGTTGCCTTCAACTCGACATTTAGATATATCGATGACGGATTATCAATTAACAATAGTTACTTCCATTCATATGTCGACTCTATGTATCCCAGTGAACTTGAAATGAAAGATTCCACAGAGTCTGACACATCTGTTTCACATTTGGATATCTTACTAGAAATAGACGTTGATGGTATCCTAACGACAAAACTTCATGATAAACATGATGACTTCAACTTTTGTATCGTCAACTTCCCTTACTTATGTAACAATACCTTTACCACCTTTATGAGACAAGGATATCAACATTCTCGTTTAAAGTAATCATTTTGCAAGTTCTAAGGTCAATAAAATGACCTTGTTAGCCCAAACTATCTATTATTAAGTCGAATGCTGACTGACGTTTTTTTTTTCGTATTAATTGTTAGGCCATTATTTAAACACGGACTAATCTAGGATTTTTCGTTTGTCCAGTCATGACAATGAGCACACGGTGGATGTGACCTATCGACAGGGGATGTTTACTCCTCCATGGCACCTGATCCCACCTCTGATGTTTTTAGAGGTCCGTGTTTGCTCTGCTCCCGAGTTGTATTGTGTCAATAGAATATTGTTCTTGCTCACTGTTCCTTATCTTCATATTTCGTGATGGTCACTTTTATTGTTTTCAAGTGTTGCACATTGTTGCTTCGGCACAAGTGTTTAACACGATTTATAATTATATTTTGTTCCATAAATAAACTTGTTGTCTCCAGGTGTACTTGATATTTGCTTGGGAGGAGACATAGTGTTATTAGTATACGAAATATCTCATGATAATTTCAAGTTACCCAACATTCGAGGGTATTTTCCACCTTTCATCGTAATCTATATCAAAGCAAAGCAGTTACACTTCCATCGAAAGTACGATTTATTTAGAGAACATTCTCCTCTTTTGAATTTTTACAAAATATTTAAGCTAATCCTTGCATCAGCCTATCATACACACACATATAAATTCTACCCCTAACCATGGTCCTGTGAACGGGAGCATTTTTGCATTATCATGTTGAATACACTTAATTTCAATCTAGAGAAATTAGAGAAAATAAATTTTCAATATTCCAGTAATAATTACACACTTTCAGGCTAAAAACTGCAGTCAAGACACGTGAGTTTTACAGTGACGTTCTAACACTTTACATGTGGGTTTAAGATAAGACGTTAACTTTCATAATACTCCTCCCGTCATGGCCGCTTTAGTATGCAGTGAGAATTGTGTGTATTTAAAAAATTATTGTGACACAAATTATTCTTTATCCTTTCATTTTAAAAACATTTTCGTTTAGCATCAGCTTCAAAATAAAGAAGAACAACAGCAATAAATACATACATGTATTTCGCACCACTTCAGATATATAAATAGTTATATGCTTTCCATTACAAATCTGTAGTTTTAGTGTTTGTTTATGACACTGTACATGTACGTCCAAATTCAGTTAAGTTATGCTTATCTTAAATTTTCTTGTCACAAGCAAAATCAATGAAGTGAATAAATAAAAATAATGCTTTATTTTTAAGAATAAAGTTGTATTAACCTGCCAAAAAAACATAACCTTGAAATATATCATTTTACGATATTTTGAAACATAAAAGTAACAAGAAACTCTTCGAAAACTCATGTCACAAACTGAGGCTTTGTATGCATCGAAAACTGCACCTTTGTTGTACAAATGTAATCTTTGCCAATATATTACATCAAATCAAATCGCAGAAGTAAAGTATGAAAGAGATGAATTAAAAAATCAGTTTCCAGAAAAATGCTAATAAAATGAAAATTTGTAATATATCATTGTAACAAAAAATACAATGAATTACATTTAGAAATTTAAATGCCATGAAAGCTATAGCCTTTGATGTGGTCTATGTTTTGATTTTATAATTCTTTTGTTGTTTTTTAATGAAATAAGTATTTTCTTGCTTCTACAAATGCAAAATATTAAAATTGCCAGTGTACTCTACAAAATTCAAAATTCTCATTTTTAGTGACCTGCGATTTCATACCTGTGTACCTTTAATACATCATCTATGTGGAATTCAAATCATTCATTTGAAACTATCATTGGTGACATTGATTTAATCTAATGATTTCAGAATGCTAATTTTTTTTCAAGGGCCAAATAATTATCTGTTTTTTTCTTACAATGATTTACCTTACATTTGATTCGTACATTCAGAACCGATTTTTTTCTGTTAATGATTAATATTTAATAATATCTTTTATCATTTTTTTTCATCAGAAGTTGACATACACAAAACTTCATAGAACGTTCTCTTCAGTATAAGTATGAAATTTAGTGGACATTTTTTAAATGGTCATTTGCACACCTTAACTGAATTTAAGCGTGCAATACTTTCATACTAAATAAAGTTCTACGAAAAAATATATTCTTTATTCATATATTTTGCTTATCAGATTCCAGTCTCGGAAATTGCAAATTATTCAGGTGAATAATATCATTAAAGCTTGTTTCAGGTGTACTTTATGTCCAAAGGAATGTTTGCTACCTCCACTTCTGAATCCACAGCCTCACTCTGGGCAACCTTTAGCCAATTTTTCCAATCTCCTGCTTCACCTGCAAATTTTACTTAGGTAATGAATATTTACAAAAACATAATAATTTTTTTTTTGGGAGGCGGGTGGGGAGGGGTTCAGTATGGAAGACCTTTAACAACATTTATATCAAAAGCTTCACTTAAAAATTTTAATATACTAAATGGCAGAAAATTGTTGATGTCATTAAGTCAGTTTTGTTGCCTGTTGGACGTAGAGATGATAATTTAGTATTAAAATATTTGAGATGGAATCATCCATGCACGGATGTAGAAGGGGAGGGTCAGCAGAACCCCTCCCTCTGAGATTTTCAGAGATATTAAATTTTCTATTTAAAAGTAATGAAAAAATGACCTTGGACTCTCTCCCTGTGGAAACACGGACCCTTCTTAAAGTGGTAAGGAAAGTCATGTTTCTGATGAAAATTGACTCAGGAAAGTGCCCCCCCCCCCTTCCAAACCATCACAAAATAGTTTTTTATGTTTGGAAAAGATGCTTAGGTTGTCTTTAGCTTTTAAGAGAAAGATTTTTTGAGTCTGACATGAGGACACCCCCCCCCCCCCACTTTTAAATGAAGTACATAATGCAACAGACGTCGTGTCAACATTTTAATACTTAAAGCAACCAATTCATTTACATAAGACTTTTATATGTCAAAACATGTAATATAGACGTACTACTTATTCAGAAAAAAATTCTTAAGGTAACTAATTTCAGATGTTTTAATATTTGCTTTGAAATATGAAGAAAATCTACCTTTCCTGTACATGATATGTTTATCCTTTATATTGGTCAAATTGCTCATAAATTCGGGGACATGGCTGTTCTTGAATTCGGACATTGTCTTAAACTCGCATTTTGTAGCAATTTCATCAATAAGCTCCTCACTGGATTCAAGTTCTAGAAAATTGGAGATTTTTCTGACGTGTCCCTTCAGGTCCTATACATTAATACAATAGAAATTACAAACGACAGAGTTACAGGAATGTGATGAAATGAATAAAATGATAGCTGCTGTTTTCAAATTCATAAAGACTTGTTTGAAAATTATAACATGAAATATACTGTACCCTCTTCATATCCTCATAGCAAATGTTCATGAATGGGTAGGAGGTGTTTTTGTTGGTAAAGTCCATCCACTCTTTTATAAAGTTCATCCATGAACCCCCAGAAGATGGCACTGTGAAAGTAATCATTTCTGTTTTGAATATATTTATTATCATATAGAGTTCAAAAATCAGGCAAATCTGAAGAGAGATAAAAAAAAAAGTACTAGTTCAGTGAACTTTAGATATTGATCATTTAACTTTTCTTTTTGAATATGTGTGTGTGTGTGTGAGAGAGAGAGAGAGAGAGAGAGAATTCATACCATTTCCAGTTATAAACATTTCGAAAAATACATCAAATTCCATATCTTTCAGCATTTCTCCCATCTTTGTTTTCTTTAGGAAATGAAACATTGAAACAACGACGTCTTTTGGATTTCTGTAGATATGGATAATTTTACATCGCCGTTCCAAGAAATCCTTTGGCATATGTCGGGGTATAAAGTGTGATACATATACACCATCGGGTACCTGCTTAAGTTTTTCTACTGGAAACAAGTCAAGCAGAGGAGGAACAACTATTTGAAACTCAGAAGTATTGTTTCTTAGCATAGCCACTATTTCATAACACCAGTGTGTTCCTAAATGAAAGAAATCTCTCTTACCTAAAAATAACTTCACATTTGATGTTTCTAGGGTAAAAGATCAGAATGTCAAATTTTAATAACTGGTGATAACTTCCGTACCAATGAATAATGCATGAAAGATGATGTCATCATGAAACAAAACTTAAATCATCAAATGCTGAGCTTGAAGTAAAATTATATTCAATTAAACCGTTATAAGTATGTAGGAAATTTTGTTTGCTCAACAATATTCAGTTTTCACAAAGTGGCTGATATTATATATGTGTATTCTATGTTTTACAATCACTTACCAGATTTTGGAAATGACACCACACATACATCACTATCTCGAAATGTCATGTTGTTCAGTTGCCGAAATTTTTCCTCCAAATTCCCAGCTATTTCGGCTGGAAATAGTATTCCATCGTATTCCACTGCTCGCAGAATTACCTTTCCACTGGAATCTTTGATTTCTTTTTGGTTCATCTTGAAAGAAAGAATACGTTTGCTGTTCAACATTCACTATCACTAGCATTTGAATATTAGTTGTTAAGAGTGACATACAATGGTCTTTGTTATACCTTTAAAAATATGTTCCTATATAAATCAATACTAATAAAAGTCTAACATTTCCTATGTTTTACTGAGCGGGCATAAAAAAATCGATGTTTGACCACAGAATGAGATATTGGACCTGTCGATGAGATGTTGGACCGCTTACGTCACATAATGAGCGGGGTCAGCTAAATCTTATTTGCATTCGTTGGCGTTCGACATACATGTATGTATTATATATATATAATATATAGATATATGTTACCATGATTAGTTATTTTCAGCTGCATTACCAAAAACAGGTCAACATTTTAAATTTTAATTTTTTTTTAAAGACAGCTTTATCAGTGGGTCAACAGCTGCAATGGGCACAAGATTCGTTTCCATCAAAGCATGACCTTATCACTTCCCAGTAATTAATTAGAACAGTAATTAAAGATTTGCAAAAAAGAAATAAGTAGGAAATGTTGCAGTTGTGCTAAAACTAGATATAAAGGGGAATTGGCAAGTGATATATATAATCCTAATCCAGCTACAATTAATTGCAGCTATTAGATTACATTCTAAGGGAAAGTATAATTTGGCTAAGCGGGGCTTTGGGGGGGGGGGCATATTTCAAATAAACTGGTAATATTTGAAATAGATGGGCAAAATCAAAGTGGTTCATCATCTCCTTCGGATCGATTGAATTCTGATATTAAGTTAAGCTATTAGAGTACTGTGATAGGCAGATAAACAAAGTGATTGGTCAGGAGTCTCACTAGGATAAGCAGCACCAACTACTTGCTCCGTATGTTTTGATCTTCATTTTGATGCTTTAAAAAGGAAATTAAAATTCACAAATTGATAATTCAATATATCAGCTTGCTGTAATTCAGTTTTTGCTTATCAGACTATATTGGAATGGCTAGTCTGCTAATGTGTGCGACGAGACGGGGAAACAAAGCTTGTCGAATAATCAGTTAAATAGAAATTATATATGAATCATCGATTATTTAAAGATTTAATAGGTTGATATGAAATTGCAATATTGAATATCAACTAGTATATTGCATTTACTAGTATATAAGAAAGTCAAAACCAAGAAGTTAATAATGTGTTGTCAAAACAATATTGATCCATTTATTTAAGGTACACTACGATATTCAATTTTAAGCTAATTTGGTAAGGGATATCCAGGATATGTCCAGAAGTATGCCTTATCAAGTTTGCCAGTTTTTTCCAGCCCACATACTCATGGACAAAGAGTTGCAACATACTCCAGATTTTGTTTTCTCTGATTTTTTATTGTGCTTGTTTATTCTATTGCGCACCTATGTCAGTGTCTAATGGGGATTTAAGCCTTGAGACTAATTTTATCATTCTGTTTAATTATTACCAAATACATGTATAATTATGTATAATACACAATTGTCCACGCTTATACCTAAGTTTACCAGAGATAAAACTACTCCCTTATAGACATTTTTTGGATACTCAGCATACTTAGTATCGCAATTACCTCAAATTATATAACTTACTGCTGCTGTTTTGCGATAAAGTCAAGAAAGTTATAAATCTCCCGTCATTTTCGGGGCATAACATATCGTTTACACGTATTGTTTACGTTAGTGACAATTGAATGATACGAACAATAAGTATGCCGAATGTACAATGCATGGCCGTAGGAACCGGGGGAGGGGGGGGGGGTATTTGTAGAATGCAAAATTTAAAATCTTATCTCATTCACTACAGTTAGGGAGCAACCGCTAAAGCACATTTGCAATCAAGATGCAACAGGGGAGGTTATTTTAGCTTTGAAACGCTGGCTATAAAATGCACATGTTTATGCATCCAGTAGTTGTTACAAGGCTCACATATCTTTACTTTCTCTCATTCCAATGATTTTTTTTAAATTTTACTATGGATTGTAGTTGTTTCATAAATTTGATTTATACAGCTGGGGAAATGAGGGGGGGGGGGGGAGTTAAGGACAAACATATAGTTTTAACAGTATTCTAAATGTTGAGAGGTGACGTAAATATCTCGTTTTTGTTCAATTTTGGTCTGATACACTCCAAACTTTTTAGGTCAACTATAACCAATACTTGCAAAGATAGTTTAATTTTTTTTTAGAAAAGCCATAAATATGCGTAACAGGAGTAACAGCCTAGTAGGTAAGTAATACGATAAAATAAACCAACGGAACGGAAAATACAGTGCAGGTAAGGATCCACAATTTTAGATTAAACGGGGAGTTGTTTTATACTGACAAGTCCATAATTGCATTTCAACAATTATAACGGAATAGGTGAATGACCGTTGACGATTTAAATTCATATTTTGTTTTAATGCATTGAATAGTATAAGTAATTGACTAGTAAGACACTTGTTTTGTAAGTTTGTATTGGTGAATGAGCAGGCCCTGGTCGACGCTGACCATTTACGTTGAGGTACTGCCGTCACCATGGTTCTTGGCACCCCCATTCGTGGTGGTTGCAGTTCCATGATTACTCGTGGTAGACATGAGTATTCATGGCCCTGGCAAGTGGCGTATTCCGTCGCACCTCAACGCAACTGGAGGAATGCAACACATATTCTTACGCTCATTCCATTGTTTATCCTACTTGCACATGTAAATTGAAATGCAGGATTTGAATTTGTGCATTGGCTTGTAATTGCCAAGCAGTTGACTTGATTGATATTGAATTGATTGATTGATTGATGATTGATTGATTGAACTTGATTGATAATTCAATCGGTGACGTTCATGCACTTGTGACCTACCCAGTGCATGATCCGCCCGATTTTGGTCGTCACATTTGTTGTATTGATTTTTGATTGTGGGGCAGCCCTTTGGTAGCCCCAGCAAATTGATCACGGCGGCCAGAAGCGCCAAATTAAACAAGTAAAATAATATCTCTGTTGTTTGTTTGATTAATAGGGAATCGGCAATAATCATGTAAGTGTGCACTAACTCGTTTCCTTTCATCAATTCCCTAATACATGACAATTTTTCATCCCAAAGACCCTAAAATTTGTCGCCTTCTTCTCTCAAAATCCAATCCTACCTCGCATTCATCTCTCCGCTCTCTCCCATTCCGATTTCCTTTTTAATTATAAATGTTTATCAATGGGCATACAGATATATTTCTTAGATAATTAATTTAAATTGATTTGAATATGGGCATAAGAAAAACTTATAATTAACTTGTTAAGATTCCATTTTGAACATTATTTTCATAAATTCTCAGTTGTGGGACCGAAGGTAATACGACTAAGTTTTCGTAACACCATGCCAAAAAATCCCGACCATTTTCCAGAGAGACGGAGTTAAAAAAAAGTGTAATTGATGCAAATCACCCATATTCCCCTAACGCTAGAGAGACAATTAACGGCAGCAGATTTGAGGGGGTGGATCCTAAGTTTTCAGTTTTCTTAGTTAAAGAAAATTAAAATGCTACCCAGGAAGTAGCCTCCTATGCTCTGAAAAAAAAAAGTTCCTGTCAAAATTTATTTATGTATTTACAAAGTATATAAAATGTACTAGGCACAGGTACTAAAATTGTAAAAATAGACTGGAAGAAAATTTTTTAAAAAAGTCTCATAAAAAATTAATTTTATACATGTATGTATGGACTACAATTGAATAAGTTCATTTTCATTGGTCAATTACCGGTGTGATACCTTAATACGGCACAGTACTTTCCACAACAAACATGTTTATCATGCCCGATGTTTATTTATACTAGAAAAAAATATTTTGATATGGAAACACTTTAAAGATTGAAAGGCCTCTAATTTTTTACTGAACAATTAGTTTATTATAATCTACTTAATAGTCTTTTTCTTTTATTGTACTTTTTTAACCGCCACATATGATATGCATGGAACCCCCCCCCCCCCGCCAAAAAAAGAAATGACTTGTACTTCATGCGGGGAAAACTACATTGGACAGACCGGTAACAAACTAGCTGACCGCGTAAGAGTCCATAAACAACAAATACGGGACCCTTCTGTCAGGAATACGCCATGCAGTGAACATTTTGATTCATGTGCGAATGGAAACTTTTTAATATTTCCATTTTATAAAGTTCTAGAAAATAATGAACAATTACGGAGAGCCAAGGAAGATTACTTTGTTAAATTATTTAAACCTAAACTAAATGTAAATTGAACATTATAGCTTAAAATTAGCAGTCTATTTCATCACAATGTACATATGTTCAATTCTCTACTTTGGCGCCCTAATGACATTTACCTGCGCCAATATATAATGCTGCCTTTATGACGTCACAATAACGACGTCATAACAACCAAGTTGTATTGTTTTTATAAACTTTGTTACACTCTGAAGAGCCTCACGGCGAAAGCGCTTAGTGTAATAATTAAATGTGAACTTGTTTGTTTATCTTGGATTTTATTTTAATTTATAACCTACCTATACCGTGGACTTTTACTACAATTTCACTATATATATATATATATATATATATATATATATATATATATATATATATATATATATATATATATATATATATATATATATATATATATTAGCATATGTATATATATATATTCTCATGTATATATATATAAATATATTAGCATATATATATTTCGAAATTCTGGAGTGATGAAAAATTGTCGCACTATAACGACAATGCATAAGCTTTAAATTCCTTAAATTCAAGTCGTTGAAATGAAATCACATTCAGTATTTTGCACTCGATTGTTTTATTTAATTTCATAGCAAGGCGGGAACCCAAATGAATGATACATGTAAACAGCCTTCTGAAAATACCGAAATCAAGATAGTGTTGCTGTTATCACGTGCGTTAGACAGTCAACTCTTTTGTAATTCTTTAATAATGCTATACTTAAAAAATTGTAAAGTACTTGTCAGAAACTGTATAGTTGTCTATTGGTACATGTAATTTGGAGAAATAAGATTATCTCTATTCAAAAAACACATTTTCTTTAAAAATGTGACAGATATACATGTAATTAAAATTCCTATTTCGAAATTGATTGAAAATTTGAAAATAATACTAAAAAATAGCTTGCTAGCCTAGGTTAATAAAGCTTTCTATATCATTTTGTCTTCCTACTTATATCTTTCGGCAGAAGAGGATTTATAAGAAGTGATCAAATTCTTACGCATTGTTCACAAGGTTTACATATTGATATTTCACGATTTTGTTATTTACACAGTTCTGTAAGCTAACAACGTCACTAGATTGTGTGTCAAGGTGAGATAGAAAATGGCGGACTATAATTCTGATCAATATACTGCTTTATATATATATACCGGTAAACGATGAAGCACAGTTTGAATATGAGTAAAACATATGTTAGTTTGCCTCATGTTCATTGCATTTTCTTACATGATTTTTGTATTGTGTTAATTTAAAACTCTTCATAATTACATGTATGATTCATCAAGTTTTCTATAGAATGTTTAAATATTTAAAACATACTTTAAAGAAAGAAGTGAATATACTTCTCAAATATTCAATCAAATAAAGGGTTAATGAGGTAAATTTCTCACCTTCCTATTGTATCCACGACAAACGTTGTTCTCCGTTGTTGAGTGCTGCGACGCTTAATTTGGCTATGATCGTTCTAGTTAGTCAACTTTTACAAATATTTATGTGCCTTGTGTCTACAATGGTTTATAGGTACGTGTCATAGGCTGCCAAAAGCATCTGGCCACCTTAAAAAACAATGCTGCATCACTCCAGTTCCATAGCATATATTAGCATCTTTTCTGTTCTTTTTGGGGGATTTGGGCTTCTATTTTTGCCCTAATCTTCTTTGCTAGAGGTTAAATGTATTAATTAAATGATGTGTTCACTAATATTTTCTTCATTTTGATGGTCTTATCATAACTATTTCATTGTTTTTAATATAGAATTGGATTTTTAGTATGCAAATAATTCTTTTTATATATTGTAAAGTATAAAGTCGTTTGAGAGAGATATTATGTATTATTTTGTATGAAATAATTTCGTTTGCACGACTTATTATGACGTCGGTACATGTACAACACACCTCGTGTGCACAACTAATCATCTCGTTTGCACGGGATTATGTATCGCTCAAACGAGACAATTTCCCGTTCACATGACTTTTTTCTCGTTTACACGACTTATTATCTCGTTCAAACGAGATGTCATCTCGTTCTTACATCTTTGTTCTGTCTAATCCATGTTAAGTCTCAGATTAGTAATAAGTCTCTCCTATCTTAATTTGGAAATTGTGTACATGCTTGTCTTTTTCAAAAACAAAACTTGAAGAAATTATTATTCTTTACTGGCAATAGTTTATTACTTTCTGCTTTCTACAATAGCGCTTTGTAAGGCGGCGTACAAGTGCAATTTCAATTTCGAGGAAGAAATAAATGAAATCGTGTAAAAGATATTTAAAATCATTTGTACGTATTTAAAATCGATTGTACGATTTAGAAAATCTTTGTATGATTTTTAAATCGTTTTTACAGATTAGAAAATCATTTAAACGACTTAGAATTTTTTGGTACGATTAAGAAATTATACGAGTTTAAGAAAAACAATGAAACAAGCAAGAAAATCCTTTGGACGATATAAGAGTCGTTTGTACAATTTAAGAATGTCAAATGTACGATTTTTCAAAGCTGTTGTTTTATCAAATAAAAAAAAAAGAGAGATTTCTTAAGAGTTTAAAAAGTGAAAGATGAAATATAACTAAGATAAATGGTAAGTTACGGACATGTACATTCATTTTTATCTATTGTCTAATTTTCACTTTATCCATTTCCCCCCAAATTGCTCTACCTTCTTCATACAAAAACCCCTATTTCTCCTTTTGAAAAACGATGCTTCTTATCTGTACACTGAACATTAACATTTTTAAAATAATAAGAATGCTCAACCGTACTTGATAATTATGCATTTGGGAAAAGCACATTTTCTATGCTCACAAATTTATCGACGATTTTTTTTATATGCTTTTTACGTTTCGTTTGTGTTTTAGTCAGATTTAGTTTACGATGTTGCTATAGAAGTGCAATTGCGTTGTAGCACAAAACTGCAAGTGTTGACAAAGTTAAAAAAAAAAAAAAAAAACACGCATCAGGAACAAGCCTTGTTGCAAAATGGATTTCACTTAAACTTTGAATAGTAATACTGATTATAATCTAGCAGCTTGATTTCGATCTTATTTCTTTTTCATTATTTGCTATCTAATCTTCGCCAATCAGGATCAGAGGAACGATTTCAAACGTTGGAGGAGGGTGTGTGTGTAGATTTTTAAACTTGTAATCCTTGATCCGGGTAAAATATTTTTGCCAAAAAGATGTTCTGACTGTATCAATTGTTTCAGAACAGTCGTATGAGAGCTGCGTTTTTTACATACAATGTTTCTGCCTTGTTTTTCCAAAATTGTACAAACAATTTTCTAAATCGTTCAAATGATTTTTTAAATCGTACAAACGAATTTCTCAATCTTACAAACGATTTTCTCAATTGTTCAAACGGTTAAAAAAAAAACAATTTTAAAGATTCGTAAAAAAAAAAAATCTATAACCGCACAAACAATTGAAAAATCGTAGTAACGACCTGAAAAATCGTACAAACTATAATTTCTAAATTGTACGATCAATTTTCTAAATCGTTCAAATGCATATCCATCCAAAACTGTTGAAAGAATTTTTAAAATCGAGCACAATCATAATTACGATTTTCTTAATAGTACAAACCATTTTCTCAATCGTATAAATCTTGTATTAAATCGTAAATACCATTTTCAAAATTTAACAAACGAATTTCCGTATCCTGTAAACAATTTTCTACGTCGCACAATTTATTATTTTTTACTGAAAAATTGAAATAGCACTTAAACCGGATTGAAGATTTAGAACGCATTAAAAATTTGCATATCATAAATGGTTCCAGTTACATGTAGCATCAAAGAAAAGAATGGAATTATTCATTATAATGAGTGTAAAAGGTGAAGATAAAGAACAGTAAAATCAATCATTAATTTAGTAAAAAGAGAAAAGATCATAAAACAGGGACCTCTGGAAACACGGGAAGTGGGATCAGGTGCCTAGTAGGAGTAAGCATTCCCTGTCGATTAGTCATATCCATCTTCAGGCTTATGCATTGATCAGGTGGACGGAGCAATACGTAGTCCAATTAGTTTTTTTTTTCTTTTTAATTACCTTCCGATTGTTACGAAACATATCAGAAAAAAATTCTACCAAATTACAGATTGTATTTGTAAACAAGGTCTATAGCGGCAATAATTCTTAAGGTATTTACGTAGAAATGATAAAAGTTTGCGAGGTAAACAGTGATTAAGCATTTTTTAGGACTTAGTGTGCACCTTTATATACTATCAGTCAGAGAGATAACAACCTGTTAATATTCTCCTGTTTGTTGACATTGCATGTAATGAATTGAACACTTCTTTAAAACTAAGAGGATATCAAATAAATTAACTTTCATTAGATTAAAAAGATTAAATCCTACATACTTTTCTTATGAACTTTTGTTAACACTCGCTGTAGGGTATTGCAGGAGTAGCTGTTTTATTAAAAAAAATTGATATCACTCCGGAATAGGTATTGCACAATCCGAGGTATTTTATTTTTCAAATTATATCAATTGTTGTTGTAATATTAATTCGATAATCACCTTCGCTCTATTACATGTCTAATTTTCAACTTGTTTTATATGCGTATATTCCTAACAGATACATGTATTGGTTACAAGGACTTAGAAGAAAGTTTGGGGGTAGAAATTTAATGATTTACCTTGAAGGTGCCACTCATTAAAAGTCTACCTGTACTCTATGCCATAATTAGAAGCGGAATAGTTAATCATTAAGACTCGTTCTAATCATTATATTTATTTTTTTTCTGCGAACTGTTTTTTCCTTTTTTTATTTCCTTGATAGTTTGATAAGGCTTTTTGCTAATTATCTTGTACCTATAGATACGAACTCATTGATTCTAAATATATATGTTTCACGCTTCTTAATTAATGACTCTGTAACGAGATCCAAGCGAAATTCAAGCATTTTAAAGTGAGTGCTTATTTACATGAATAGATCATCAGCAACAGCGTATTTCAGATGAAATTCGCAATAGTGAATAATCAACAAGGTTGCTCTTACACTGAAAAAGCTTGCAAGAAAACAGAGAAACCTGAAATTGAAAACTATTATTACATATACTGTATATAAGAAATACAGTTAAACACGTTTATTACGAACACGCTTATAATGAATTGACGCTTAAAGCTAAGTGACTTTAAAATGTATTGTTAACATAAAGGATATAACGAATTACGCTTATTACAAAGCAAAATTTTTAAAGAGAAAGATTAAAGTTAAATTCCTTCGATTCAATTTCATATATCACTAGAAGATTGGCATTGTTATCTATAAATGATGTGATTAGTATATATCACTAGAAGATGATATTGTTATCTATAAATGATGTGATTAGTATATATCACTAGAAGATGATATTGTTATCTATAAATGATGTGATTAGTATATATCACTAGAAGATGATATTGTTATCTATATATGATGTGATTAGTATATATCACTAGAAGATGATATTGTTATCTATATATGATGTGATAGTATATATCACTAGAAGATGATATTGTTATCTATAAATGATGTGATATGTACAAGGGTTGTCCCAGTAAAATCGTGGACAAGTTTTCTAGAGTGAAAAATAATCATCACTGTGTTCTAAATTTTTTACTACTCTTTAGTACAATTTTCATTAATATAATAGCATATTTCAAATAGATATATGCTCAAATAAACAAAATATGAGATTTTATTTATGTGTGGTACATGGATGATAAAGTCAAAGTGTCTAAAGCAGTGTCACGTTTCCTCTTTGCTAAAAAAAGTGGGTAAATTTGGGAATATCATTGATGCACATACTTAAGATTCTCTTTATTCTTCCACAAACAGTCGAGGAACTGATCTCGCACACACATGTGACCTTCTGAAGATTTATTAGTAAGTTCTGGACAGTTCTTTCACTACATTCAATAAAATACGCTATCTTATATCGACGGTCTACAGAGACAGCGTCTTTCGTTATTGACAGTAGTTTGTCCTTATGTTTTGTTCAACCCGGGGACTCGATCAAAAAGCTTCCGCTTAGAAAACTCCAATTTCACTTGTATGCTAAAGATCTAGTGAAATTTCTGTATTTTTTTCTGTAGTCATTTAAAGTTTCTTAGGGCGTCATTATTACATCTAAATCAAACTGAACTGCTCTCCGATGCACCGTTACATCAAACATCGCCATTTTTCGTGTGTTGTGTTCACTACTTTCCCAATTCAAATGTTCGGGAAACTATCAAAAATTAAGCAAATGCCTTGAAATTTTCCAAAAGACGACATAACAGATATTGGATTAAAAATAGGATAATTTTTACCCTAGCCTCATCTACTAACTACTATTATTTCGAAATAATGCCCGTGTATTCTCTAATGAGACCCTGATTTTTTTTATCCTGTACCGTAGAATCGTGAACATTTAATCATAATAACATTTTTATTTTTGTTTTTATTTAGAAAAAAATAAGATACAATAAAATA